GCACTCACAGACTATTTTCAACACCGCTCCGTCGAGAAACTCTATCTAAACCAAGGTAATGTATTTGATAGTACATTTATCCTTGATGTGTATTCGCTTACCGTGACTGTTCTCACATTGTCCACTTCCAACAGTGGAGTGGTATACTCAACAAGATCCAGAGCACTTTCTTTTCCATACTGGAGAACGGGTTACCTCCTTAGACACAGTCGCCCACTCTGTTACGACCAGCAAAGGGCGCAATATAAGTTATGATTACTGCGTTCTTGCTACTGGCTCCGAAAGCACTCTTCCGCCATATGTTTCCCCAGTCAGGGCTGAGCGAGCTCAAGGAATATTCGTTTATAGAAATATCTCTGATCTCGACAAAATATTGTCGTATTCCGAACAAGAACACGTTCGAGGTGGCCGAGTGCGTATCATACAACCCAAGGCATACCTGCGCGCTGAACTCATTTTCTTCACTCACTCAGGCTGTTGTCGTTGGAGGCGGTCTCATCGGACTAGAGGCTGCGAAAGCAGTGTTTGATCTGTAAGTGACCCTCTTCTGTCCACGCCAACTCTTATCTCACTGAAAATCGTGAAACAGTGAGACAATATCAGAAGTCGTGATCATCAACCGTCAAGTCTTTCCACTGTCGCGCCAACTTGATGGCGAAGGTGGAGAAATTGTCCTTCGACGGATTGAAGCCATGGGTGTGCGAGTCCTCACTAGGACGTCTGTCAAAGATATCATCACTTCAGATGGAGTCTTGACTGGCCTCAGTCTGTCAGATGATCGATATCTTAAGGCTGAGATTGTCATTCATGCTATTGGCATCACCCCTCGAGATGACTTGGCCCGCCAGGCCGGCCTGAAATGCGTTGAGAAGGGAGGTATAGTCATCAACGACCTGTTGCAGACCAGCGCCCAAGACGTCTATGCAATAGGCGAGTGCGCGAGCTGGAAGGACAACACGTATGGTCTCATTGCACCTGGGGGTGAGAGCAACTGCATTCGCCTATTGGTTACTACTGATAGCATCATTAGTGGAGATGGCTGACATCTTATCGTTTAATTTCACGCAAGTTGAGACTGGCCTCGGTGGCTTCAAACCAAGGGTGATGGTAGGTGACTATTCCTGCGTTTGTGCCGTCTGTTCACCACTATAATATTGTCAGAATATGCCCGACCTTTCAACAAAGCTAAAACTGATGGGAGTTGATGTAAGTTATCACACTCCGCACCTATCACCGCTCTACATCACTCGATATTAGGTTGCCTCCTTCGGTGATTACTTTGCCGACAAGCGCAGTGCACGGGGTGTCCTCACCAGTAAGGTGGCGGTTGCAGAGCCTCTTACTCGAGATAAAGCCCAGAAAGCCATCGACGCGAAACCTACTGCATGGCAGATAAGTCCTTTGGGAAGCACTCCCAGCAACAGAGTGAAGGAAGGCGAAGTCGCAATCAACACTGTCACTACGCAGATGAAGCACGGAAACCGCCGGACTGCACTGGATGGTCCTATTGAGTGCTTGACTTATCGTGATCCGTTCTCGTATGTTTATAAGAAGTGAGTTGCGAAGACAGAAGTTTGTTATATAATGTTTACGGAAGTATAGGTACATCTTCACCGCCGACGGCAAGTATCTATTGGGTGGCATGATGGTTGGTGATACATCCGACTATGTGAAACTCGTGTCCTTAGTCAAGAAGAAGGTGAACTTTGCAAAGATGTTCTTTCCTAGCAACGCTACTGATGCTAAAAGGTAGAAAGAGCTAGAGGAGCCACCTTCCAAATTTATTATTGGATCAGGCTCTAAAGGCCCGGACGATGGCGCTGATCTCGACGATGACACCCAGATCTGTAGTTGCCACGCAAGTATCCTCTCTTCTGCATCACCAAGCTCACATCCTAATTTGATTGTAGAATGTCACGAAGGGCTGTATCAGCGAATCAGTGAAAGCTGGTGTTACCACTCTGTCAGACCTGAAAGCAAAAACAAAAATTGGTACTGGATGCGGTGGGTGTGTGCCTTTGGCCACAAACATATTCAAGGTATATTAATTTTCCCTTCATTACAAACGTCCAAAGTGACCTGACAACCTGTAGGCAGAAATGAAGAAAGCAGGACATGCTGTATCAAACCACCTTTGTCCCCACTTTGGTATGGCCCGACAAGAGCTCTTCAGCATCGTGAAGTGTGTCTACAGCGTTATATCCTGAAAATACAATTTATCGCGTCCTCTAGGATACGCAAGTTGAAAACATTCCCAGAGATCATGGAGGCTGCGGGTGTGAAAAAAGATTCACTTGGTTGCGAGATATGCAAGCCGGCCATTGGTAGGGAATGATATGATGTTTATTCGTACAATGCTCAGCCTGCCTAGGTTCCATCCTGTCGTCATTGTATAACGAGCTCGTGATCGCACCTGTACACCACGCCAACCAGGACACCAACGATAAATACCTTGCTAACATTCAAAGGAATGGTGAGCCCTCGTTTATTTACGAATATGCTCACGTTTATATCTCCTTTCTCATTACATAACTGATTTTTATTCTCGCTGACAGGTACATTTTCTGTTGTTCCTCGGGTTGCTGGAGGAGAAGTCAGTGCATTTTCCTGCCGTTTGTGGGTGAAAATTCATTCGTGACTTTTAGATCACGCCGGACAAACTCATTGTTCTTGGAAAAGTTGCAAATAAATGTGAGGTGTCCTTGCTGCATATTTTCTACGCACTTACGCCATGCTGGCAGACAACTTGTACACCAAGATTACAGGAGGGTGAGTGCATCATATTGTGCAAGTGTTACATGTGAAAATCCGAGATTTACGATATCAGGCAGCGCATCGACCTCTTTGGGGCTAATAAGCAAGATCTCCCAGACATCTGGGAGGAACTTGTCGCTGCAGGATTCGAAAGTGGACATGCTTATGGTGCGATAGAACATGGTAATTGATTCAAGTTTGTCATGTTGATCATCCACAATTCAGGAAAGGCCTTGCGGACTGTGAAGTCTTGCGTTGGTACCACATGGTGCCGCTACGGAATCGGTGATTCTGTCGGAAGTTCGTGTAATCCTGCGTATGTTGAGTTTCATCAACTGAATGAGATGTACAGTGGCCATTCACCTTGAAGAGCGGTATAAGGGCATTCGTTCGCCTCATAAGATTAAGGGCGGCGTGAGCGGTTGCGTTCGAGAGTGTGCCGAAGCACAGTCCAAGGACTTTGGCTTGATCGCAACTGACAAAGGATGGAACAGTACGTACTCTCCACTACATGATTCTAACTCTCATGAACTAAGACCTACATCAGTTTTCATCGCTGGAAATGGTGGATCGAATCCGAGGCATGCAACACTATTTGCTAAAGATGTTCCTCCGTCCAAGGTTGTTCGCATCCTTGATCGTTTTCTTATGTACTATATCCACACTGCGGACAAGCTCATGAGAACTGCGAGATGGGTTGAACAGTTTAATGGTGGTATTGAGGTCTGTTGGACGAGTATCGTGTAGTCTTTTCTATGCTTATTGATGTTATCTTACACAGCGACTCAAAGCGATTCTTCTTGACGACGAGCTCGGCGTCTGTGCGGATCTGGAGAGGGAAATGGGCGAGCTTATCGGATCTTATGCAGATGAATGGAAAGCTGTGGTCAATGATCCTGCGAGGAGACGTCAGTTTCGTCAGTTCGTCAACACTGTCAGTGAAACCGCATGTTTGGGGAGGACAACCTGTGGTACTAATGGCTTACGTACAGGATGAACGTCGCCCTCAAACGGAAGTCATCACAGAGCGAGGGCAGGAACGTCCAGCAGACTGGCCGAAACAGTTGCCTCCCGCCAAACTTGGTGAATCAGTCATCGTTACTCCCAAATCTGAGTGGGAGTGGCGGAAGTTGGCCACTGTCAACGATCTTATGCCAACTGATGATGCTACTACGTGAGTTCTTACACACATTCATCTCTTGCTTCGCTTAATATTTTTGACTTCTGCGTTCTCAGGTCTGCTGCTGTCAAATATGGTGACTCGCAGTTGGCTATTTTTCACATTCCCAGGCGGGGCTACTTTGCCACGCAACAGGTACAGCCCATTTCGTACCCTTTCTGAACATATTGCGAGATTGATTTTGCAGATGTGTCCACATAAGCGGGCTTTCGTGCTCGATCACGGAATTGTTGGCGACGACCTGGATGGCAATCTCTACGTTTCATGCAAGTGACATATCTTTCCCGCTATCTGCTAGTCTTCTGAAGCCTGCGTTTCTAAGGTCCCTTGCACAAACGAAACTTTCGCCTTACGGACGGTAAATGTTTGAACGACGAAGATTTTTCCATCATTCCGTTTGATGTGAAGCAAGAAGGTGACAATCTCCTTGTGCTCCTCCCCGATTCAGGCAACTTGGATGCAGTCATTGGAACAAGCAAATGGATGGTCAAACAAGCAGCGGCGGAGGTTTCTTCACGCGGTGGTGAAGGGATCGAAATTGCCGGTGTCGGAATGGGTACACCTGAAAGTGGGTCTACGTGCAGTGGGGGACAAAGTTCGTGCAGTGGTGGAAATGCATCATTGGATTGGTGATTCGATGGCACTTGCCGTTATTTATATTGGAGAGTCAGAGTTGGCAATTTTGACACGAATCAGAATCGACGATCCAGCATTAAGTTATTTCGTGGCTCGATCGTGTGAACTATGCCAAAGGCTTGTAAAGCATGCCGACCGCGGACAGTGCGTTGGCGAGCACGTTTGAGTGGGTTCATGTGATATATATACTTAATGAAGGTTCTGGCTCTAGGCACGTTTTTGAGAGGAGTGAAGCGGGGCATGATGCAATATTTGAATCATAATTCGTCAGTGCATGATGAGGATGGTCCATCAAATCTCCAAGTGAAATGAGGGTAGTCAAGGTTGACGCTGATTCATGGTTTTGAATCGGTGCTACAATCGGCGAAAATCGTAGACCTGAATCGCGTCAAAATCGCCAACTGACCGTTTTCGAAATTCCAATAGCTGATCAAAAATAATCGTCACCGCTTACATATGCAACTCGTATAGATTAATGCCTTAAAAGTGTTAAAATGTCTGTCATAGAGTGGTATCGATGTTAGTCCATAATCAGCTCCCCATGTTATGACTAACTCTATTACCAGTGCTGAGTAGATCATGCGCATCTAACTTAATACGATGGGTGGTTAGAAAATAATGCCTTCGCTCAGCTTTCTCACAAGTTATTTCAGGTCCAGCCTAAGCTTTATCCTCCTCGTCCTCCTCGTCCTCCTGCTGAGGATTGTCGACCGAATATGGCAGTGGGCACTCGCGTGTAATTCGGTATTGATCCATGTTACCAAGATGCTCATTCTCGAGACGGTCTGTCAGGTGTTGAGGATTAGCGAGTTGTATAGAAGGAAAATCAAAGAAAGAGCTGACAGAAATTCCACACAACTCTCCTTATCATCTCCATTAGGCTGCATATGAATGACCGGAGATTGAAGTATGACCAACTGGGTATGTAGAAGACCCAGAGAAAACGAATGACAAGATTCATGACCTATAACAGATTGTCTAGAACGAGTAGATTCACAAGTATACATTCTGCTTACCAAAGCAACATAGTACAGCTGAATAGAAATTAGAATAAAAATCCGGAACGTTTGGTTTAGTGAAAGGTAGGGCGCACCGGAATCTGCGATGTGTACACCAAGTCCCGCCTGAGGAGGGGGTATTTAGCGCGGGGTTTGCAGATAGACCAATCCATCGCGAAGTCCTGAGTGAAGTTAAGAGTGTATCCACCATTGACTGTTCGTTAACTCACCCATGCACACCCATATAGTGAATAGACAACTGCCGCCAAACACCACATAACGAAAGAAGCACCGCCGTCAGATTCTCCTAAAGAAGATCAGATGAGAGTGGGGGCGTGAGAAGGCAACCTACCGTCGCGTCTCCACAGGTAATAACAGAAGTAGTGCACTATTCCCATCCCGTACTTGCCGGCCTGTACATTCAACCAAGACGTGAGCTGTTTTTGAGTGCTTCCATTCGATAGTGAAGACTTACGTTAATGAGATGAGTAGGTAACTTTGAATCCTTGTAACGTCTGATGCTCTGCACGAAACGCACTAGGAACGGTAACATGGCAAGTGCGAAGTAAGAACCCCAATTCATTTCCGCTCCACAAGTCAACCACGCTTTTTGAAGCGTAGGGTCATCTGCAGAATAAAGGAGTTCGCCTCTTGGCATCAAACTAAACGTCTGAGAGAAGCGCGGGAGAGCTGTCATAGTGTTGTTGTACGGCAACGACTCGGACGTAGATGACACATTGGCATGGGAAGAAACATAAGGATATTGGGTGTAGAAACACCCAACAAAGTAGAGGTTCCCCAAACTATAGGCAAGACTGCAAAATTGGTCGCTGTGAAGGTTGAGATGAAGGATACAATGGCGCAGAGTTGTAGACACTAACCCGAGCCAGAAATCTGTGAACTGTCAATCGTGTCAACTACATGCTATGCGTCACATGATATGAACGTACTTCGACGCCCCACAAACCGCTAACGCCTAGTCTTGCAACGCTCTTGATAAGCCACCATCGCGAATGACCCCAGAGGATGTTCTACACATTTAAAAAAAACATTTTAGCTCGAATTGTAGACACAGATGATGTGACCTTGCCGGAATGGGATTGAAAATGACGGTAAGCACAAGGGCAAGCCACACAAGCGGCCAGATGAGTGGAGGACCGACTTGAATGAATGAAAGCATAAAGCAGTATGCCAGCGCGCATAATAGGAAAGCAGGAAGCTAATATGGAATTACATCAATGAACTTCATAGAATTCAAGGCGTCAAACCTCAAAATACTCGCGATGGTCGAGTCGAGATCGCACATTAAGTTCTTCGAAGGAAGGTGAGCATGAGGGAGATATACAAGACAAGTCATGCGCACCAAATATGAACACATAGTTGATCCTTTCTTCGGCCCATACGACGAGATCAATCCGACGAGCAAAGCAAGTAACGTAGGGATTAAAAAAATAGAGTAG